CATTTTAATATTCACTTGATTAACCCCTGGGAACATACTTACAGGCCCACTCCGGGCGTTTTCACAAAAGCTAGCAAAAGACAAAGGTTAGGGTTAATCTACTCCATCCAAAAGATCGGCTTGGGCCTAACCCTCAAGGACCAACCAAAAACCGCGGTACTCCACACCGCATAAGAAGCAACGACAAGCTAAGGTCCGAAAAGGTTTAACAACAACAAATGAGATAAAATCTCAATAAGTTAACGGCCTAAGCCCCGCTTAGGAGGCCAACTCGCACGGGGTCCCTAAACAAGGAAACGGCGACAACAACATCATTAACAACCACGGGCATCCTCACCTCGCCTTGGTACACACGTTGATGAAATGCATATGTCACATACTCGAAGCATTTAACGAGATTTTCCATGCATTAATGCAACACGGTCGCGCGTGTCTCGATTATAAGGCAAAACCCGCTTGGCACGTCCCATACCATGCCCTAGCAGTTTCTACCCCATAATCAAGCACTATGCATCACACGTATTCAATTATTACGCCCCTCGGGGCCACCACACATCAAGCGATACGCGAGCAAGATGGCGGTCTACCGGTAAAAACCGGGCTCCGTCCCGCCCGTCGGGCACGGCTACGTCAAACGATACACGGGATGACGGCATTCCAATACGGCAACATCAAACGATACACGGTAAGATGGTATCCGTAAGAGCATCGAGTCCGGCCTCGGGCATGACAAGGCATCCGGGGTATCGGCACTCCATTATCCCCAGGCATCCGATAAATCGGGCAACGTCAAGCGATACAAAGAAGACGGCTTTAACGTGTGACCACACGAGCACACAAGCATTCCGGCCAATTATTATCTTCTCAATTAGCCATGCATACATGAATCGTGCTCTCCTCGATGTCATACAATAATACCAAGTGGCCACACATGCAAAGCATCAATCAATTCTTTCAATCTTCGATATCAAACACGAATATCAACCACAAAGTATCACTAACGTTACTTGGCATAACAGAATAAAATAATTTAATTCCAAAAGTCTCATAAATTTTTCCACAGAAACTTTCGATCAAACAATTTGCCATAAAATCAATTTAATACGACAATACGCGGCAAAATCGCCAACATTCAAGCTAGAAATCATAATTTGAAATTATAAATTTTCCGAAATAACAATAAATTAAATTCGGAATTAATTAATTAATAATATCCGAAAATAATTTAATTTTCCAAAATGTCAAAATATTTCCTCGAATCGAAATCATTCAAATCATTTTCTAAAACGCCATCTTATACGGCAAAAACCAACATTGGCATCACAATTAACGTTAGAAAATTTTCCGAAAATAATACTATTTAATTTTCGGAAATTAATTATTTAATAATAAAATAATAATATTTAATTCGGAATTAATTTATTAACTAATAAAATAATATTTAAATTCCGAAAATAATAACATTTCATATAATAATCAATAACAATAAACTAATCAATAACTTATACCCTAAATACAATTAATTAACCAATAACCCACAATTAACACAAACTAAACATAAATTAAGCTACCCTAAGCAAGTTTAACGCCCTAAACACGGGATTAGGGGTTAACTTACTCGGCTAATGCCGGCGACGACGCGAGGACGACGGCGGCGACGAGGGCAGTCCGCGGTGTCCTCGGATTGCTCCGGCTCGAGCTCGGTGGCCGACGGACGGAAGACGAACGGCGCGGCAAAGAAGCAGCCACTGTGGGGCTACTCCGGCGCAGCCTGGGGCTGTTCCCGGCGGCTGGGCGGCTTGGACGGCGGTGCCCCGACAGGTCTGGTCGGTCACGGCTCCGGCACGACCAACGGCCACGTGAATCGGGGAAGAAAAGGGAGAGGAGGGGCGGCTGAGGGTGGCGGAGACGAAGGCTGAGGGGTGACCGGCGAGAGGCGCTGCTCACGCGAACAGAGGAGAGGAAGGAAAGGCAGTCGGCCGAGGGGAAAGGGCACGGTGGTGGACGGCACAACTGGGCGAGGCGGGCGGCAGCAGCCCGCGGTCAGGCGCGGCGTGCGGCTGAGCTGGTCCCGGCGGCGAGTTGCAGAGGAAGAAGCTAAACCAAAAGCAAGAGCGTCAGAGGGGGGGGAGAAGGAAGGGAAGGAAGAGAAGGAAGGAAAAGAAAAGAAAAAGAAAAAGGGAAGATGAGAGAGGGAGAGTTAGTGGGGTTGGTGAGGGGATGGGATGTCAGGCACGCAAGGGAGCCGGCGGGAAAAGAGGGAGGAGAGAGAGAGAGAAGCAAAGGTCAAATCGCAATAATCGCGATCCAACGGCCACGGTTTAAACCCGAAAAATGATCCGACGGTCCCCGAAAAAAATCCTAATTAATATTTTTAGGATTTGGCCAAAAGGGTGTTAATAAAAACACACTGCGAGGGTGATCTACCAGTCCAAATTCGCACCCCGGTCAAAAATTCACTTTTCACGTATCCCAGGTAATATCGAGATTGACCACACTAATATCGACACCGTCCAATTAAATTCGTTCCGGAATTCCGAGAAATTCGACGCCAAAATTTGGGCTCTAAATAACGGCCAAATTCGATCGAATGCGATTCTAGCGAAATCTCAATTTTTAAAAACAATAACCTAGGAGTGATCGCTTCTACGAGATTTTACTATAAGCACTCGACGAATTACACGTTTTATAAATCCCAAAAATGTGCCAAAATTCGGAATGTCACAGATTTCAGGTGAGGGTTGTGACGCCCTCGCCAAATTTGGCCAGGTGAGGTCCGTAACGCCCTCACGTAGAGCCCACAAGGGTCGCTAGGGTCACTAGCCATTTCTCCAAAACCTAGAAAAAACCACAAAAATTCTAAAAAAATAATTTAAATTTTATTAAATAATGTCCGTATTAGCGTCGGCCGTGCCACATAGGATGGTTGACGTCCATGTTAGAAATTTCCGGTCAAAATTGATCGGATGGACTCAATTGGCAAAACGTAAAAATATTTAGGAATGAATTGACAAAATTGAAAGGTTTAAAATTGAATTAGTAAAAGTGCAATAGGTTATGACTTTTTGGACAATTTTGGCTCCTTTTCTCTTACATGACATCTCATACTAACGGAAATACTATCGAAAACATGCATGTAGACAATGCATGCCGGTTTAAAGCGTGGGCTAAGTAACAAGTAAATACTACACCTCGAATAAGAAGATGCACCTAGACTAGACGGTCTTTTTTTCCCGCTTTGCATTTTCCGGCATCCTAAAAAGCATTAGTTATTCCATTGTGAAAGCTCCATGCAAATGTTGTTGTGGCTCCTCTATCAAAGAATCTGATCTTTCGGTGGTCAGAATATAGTCCTCATCCTTTCCTCTACATGTATGGGGCAAGCCATCGTGAGATGACACCTTCAGAATAATTCCTTCCTTCTTTGGCTATTGATAATCTAAGCCTTATTAGAAGCACGCAACTTCTATTTCCAGTTTTTTTTTCTTTTTCTGAGTCCTAAAAGAAAAATCTTTCCTAAAACGAATATTAGTTCGATTTTTTGCTGCACTTATGGAATCAGTTCCTCAGGTTTGTTTGGATGTTTGGTAAAGAAGACCAATTCAATTATCGAATAAAAACCGCACTGAAAAGAAATTTTTTTTCCTACATTAAAAGGTTGCTTCTAAAATCAACATTTTCATAATATATTCTCGTATGTTGAGAACATTTAATTCTATGAATCAAACACGACATTTTCAAGAAAGCAAACAATCTAAAAGCACACGACCAAAAAAAAAAAAACAATCTAAAAGCACAAGATTATTTTCTGTTTATATTTTCAAGGAAAATAAAAACTGAAACACATTCACGAAGTGGCCTTGATTGCTACTTCTACACCATTTGCACAGTCAAATGGCATCAAAAGGGAACGTTCCGTGTGTGCTTTCTTTTATAAAAGAATTAGAATCTTTCTTTTTACCTAAAGTTGTAAATCGGATAGCGAAGCATAATATTTTGCGCTGTACATCTACCGTGGAAAATCTCATTTCCATTTTCGCAATGCAAACATCATATCGCAAGATCGAGTTCTCTATTGGACGGATCAAATGACATTTAACAAGAGTTCATAAGCTACACTAGTCTTAGCAAAAGTAGCACTTTCATATACGATTTGAATTTGCCGATAGCACCGATGACCTATTAAATATGTAATTTCAATGAGTCTTTTGCATGTTATTCTTCTTCCCCGCACGTAGCAAATTCAGCTTTTGCATCGGATATCCCTTAACATGGGTTCAAAGCCTCTAGCCAATCTCTCTTTGCTCCAATTATCAATCAATCACTCCGTTTGTGGACCTCGTCAATTTAACACTTACATTGTCTCATTTCCTCCGTCTAACTATGGAGTTTGGATTCTTCTCCGCATAATTATTTTTCTCACAAAGAATTGATGATCACGAAAGACTTAGAATCACTTGTAGTGAATGGCCCCGATGGAGAATCTAGTACTTACCTCATGTCACCCTCTTCTTCCACCATTAGCTATGGAATATGAAGCTTTATTCTTTACTTTTCAAAGGAGACACACTTTGAATTGAAAAAAAAAAAAGGCTGTGTGTGTGGCTCTTGGCACAATATTCCTGTAGCGAAGTAGACAAGATCAAATTGGACAAGATAAGTGTACTTGTCATAAGCGTAGGTATATCAGATTCATATTTCGGACCTTGCGTGACCTCGACGGACTTAATCAATGAAGTTTTCGGATGATTTGGATTTAGACAAATATGAAACTGTTAATGAATCCTGGAAAGAGAGAGAGAGGGGGAAGGGGGTTTTCTGCATAGGCAAGAAGTATCTATACATGAGAAATTATAAATTCCATGGAACCTTAATATAGAAAAAAGAGGGATGGAAAAAGGAAGAGAAAAGAAAAAAGAAGAAGAAAGATGGGTTAATTATTCTGTCGTGAATCGAGAAAAGACCGAACTAACCCTGATGAGTGCATGCTATTCACTATATATAAGCCTTACTCTAGATGGATTGATCGGCATGAAACATCACTGAAGAACAAAATGGAAAGCAAGCAAAAGCAACTCTATATCCTTAAGGAAGCCGGCGCAGACGTCAATAATTCTGATGCGACGAAAGGAGTTGTTTACAAAGATAAGAAGAAGGCAAGCCCTTCTCTCTCTCTCTCTCTCTCTCTCTCTCTCTCTGATAATGGATATATGTATGAAATATATACTTGTATGTCGTTAGAGTTGAGTCCTGTAGGTGTACATCCATTTTCGCAAAAAGTTCGGAGAGCACTATGAGAGAAATGCGCAAATTCTTCTCTGTATCTGAACTTCCATACGTGTATATACATGTGCATGTCCCTTTTTCTCCATTTGTCACGGAAGAGAGTAATTTACCTGCCAAAGAGATGTGGTTGTCGATTAATTCAAACCCGATGGCATCGGCTTCTCTTTCTCTTTCTATTTAACTGATTTCCTATATTTTACCCGTCCGACGAGGTAGGTCCGTACACGATTAGCGATATATCGTACGATCCCTCGAAAATGTCATTTTGAAAGGGTCCATAGCAACTTTGTTTATAAACTTCCTGCTCCTTCTACTTTGACCTCCACGCACGTCCTGATTGATGTTTCTCTGCTCATATTTTAAAACGCTGTTTGTGGCAGAAGTATCGGGTCGATGGCCAAGGACGGGACTGCTTCGAAATCTATGCTAGGGGACTCAACATCACCCTCGGTGATAGACCTGTATATTGGCAGTGGAAGACTGACAGTAACAAGTACTTACGAATCCTTAGAACATCATATATACGTATCATTTATCATATAGTGCACCTTGCCTTACACTACGAGTCTAATTAGGATTTTTCATATTTTAGTAAAGCATGAATGACATCGGATAAAGGGGAACTTAAAAAAGATAAAGGAAAGCATTTAATGGGATTTCTTTAGGGAAAATCTAAAAACGATAACCATAGAAATAGACAGAAAATTTGTTTGAGGGTATTAATGCAAGTCTGCAAAATATTAATCTTTCTCCTCTCTTATAATTGATAATTCTTGGAATTATTCTTTTTGGTATAATGTTGTTGATGTTTCACACTCTTTTGCTATATAGATAAATGGCTAGAGTTATTTCTTCTCACCTACTCGGGATAAAATTTGTTCTACTTAAACACATTATTTTTTATTTTTTTTTTTTTTTTTTTTTTTTTTTTTTTTTTTTTTTTTTTTTTTTTTTTTTTTTTTTTTTTTTTTTTTTTTTTTTTTTTTTTTTTTTATTTTTTTTTATTTTTAAAAAATTTTTTTTTTAATTTAAAAAAAAAAATAATTTTTTTTGGTTATAGTTCCTTTAAATAAAGGAATATTTTTGCCCAAATGTCCGCGTGATTTCGCCTACCGAACTTGAGATATGGATTTTGGCTTGTATCCTAGCATGATGTACCCGTGTGTAGCACGGGTCTAATCTTATCTATTTGCATAAATATTTCGATGTTATAAACGAATCGAGAATTATCCATTGAAAATATATTAGTAGTAATCTTGAAAGTCATAAATTTCGGCTTGCATATACTCCACATGCTAAAGTAATACGTCTATTATAGTCCCGAATCATTGAGTCTTATTCAAACCTAGAATACAATGATTAGACAATTTCAAACCCAAGCAAATTATGGTATTGAAGTCTCCCCATTGGTTTCTATATGTACTTTCAAGGTAGAGGTAAATTCGCAACACGTCGATTAATTCCACCATCTAGGGAAAACTGTATCAGTATCCCTAGCAAAGAAGGAACCGTTCTTCGGTCTTGGTATCAAAATTTTCATTTTTGCCTTTATAAGGGCGTGATATGCCAATAAAATCAAGAGCACAAGATAATATTAATGAATGAAATTTTAGTTTCATCTTCAAATTTTGCAGTCAAAGTTAGTAAGTTCATTATATACTAAGAACCATATACTATGACCTATTTAACTTGTTTAAGTATTAGAAAATCAAATTTTCTAATCTCTCTAATCTTATTAAATTCTAATGGTACTATTTACTTCAATTTTATGGTCATCATATTTTAATTGTAGTTTTCTCTTTTTTCCTTTTCACTTAATTGGTCAAACCTAACCGCGTTATATGTATGTATATGTATATGTATGTATGTATAGTTGGCCAAATTATGAATAATGATAAAGGAGGAAGAGGAGATTGAGAGGTAAATAAGAATACGCATTATTCTATGAGATATCCACGTATTATGACGGAGTGACAGATACATAATTATCCTGTTTATCATTTTATTTGCTTTTTAGTTCCAGTAATTCATAATTGCATAATAAATACACCTCATTTGTGTGGCATCCAAGTTGACTTTGTGTTTTAAAGATTTTTTGTCTAACTATAATTAGTAAACAGGTCTTGTTAACTATTGTCCTGAGGCACTTGCTTGACATACCTAATATAGAATACTTTGTCTTCCTAAGTGTTGATTACACTAATAGAGAAACATAGCGTATAGAAAATTGCAAACTTACCTTCTTACCAAGTACCAACTAAACTCCGTTAATCAGGAAGACTCGTAGTTTTTTTTAATTATTAAATTTTTTGTTAGCTAATCTGGATAATTAATTAATAAGGAATGGTCAAGTTTATATATTTAATTTTTAATATACTTTTTACTTTTGTTCTCCGCTTTCCCTTGACTTATAAAGTTTGTTTAATATTGATCTCTACGTAGTTATAATGAAAAAAAACTCATCAGATCTACTGTCAGCGTAAAGAACCTTTTACACATTTATAATTGTGTAACCAAATTTATCTACACTACATGTCACCCGTCCAGCGGTGAATGTGTGAATTTTTTTTTAAAAATAATTATCTTGATCAATAACGTTTAAAACTACTTCAGCAATGGCATCGAAAGGGCGGAACTGGTGAAGACGAGGTGGCTGGAAGTCAAAGGGTCGTTTTGGACAACAGGGTACCTAACTCATGGGTCTTGGTACTCAGTTTCGTTTCTGGTGAGGTTGCCGGCCTGGAGCAACATGAAGAAGCGGATGGTGAACCTGAGACTGACTCGCCCGGACGGGAGCATCCAAGAGGGGCAGGCGGAGTTGCCTGATGAAGTGGGCACGGAGAAGTGGCACGAGCTAGAGGTCGGGCGTTTCCACATGAGTGAGAGGAATGCGGGCGAGATGTTATTTGCCATGGAGCAATCGTTCGACAGATGGAGGAAAGGGCTCTTCATCAAGTCCGTTGAGATCAAGGCCATATGATCCCAAGCAGTTATATATATATATATATATATATATATATATATATATATATATGTACAATAAAAGCAATTGCAGAAGAATTGCCCTCATGGAAGTGACTATAGGAGTGATAAGTGTGTGGTCGGGCGTGCGTGTTTCGTGGGCGCTCTTCTTAGCTAGTAATATTAAATAAAAAAAAGATGAACTCATGTGTACGAACATCTTTCTGTTTCCTGGACTCCGTCCTCTCATGTATGATATCTATTTGTCTATCTATCTATCTATCGCGACCTTTCCGGAGGAGAACCACAGAGGAAAAGGTAATGGACTACTACACGCGGTGCTTAGCACGAATTCTCCGAGGCCCTATTAATAGCAACTTAGTATTCAATTCAATCGTGCAATTTATCTCACCTTTGGGAGCTGCTACTAATCGGTTATGGGTCGATTCCCAGGAACACAATAATGCAATTTATGTACTCTGCATCGTAAATATTGCACTATGTCCCTCATCAATTCAATAAATGATGGCCTCCTTACATCAAAAAAGATGGTACCTTTGTTTATATTTCCATTTCTCGGTGCCAATAACAAATTCCCCACCATAGCAAACAATGATGGCGATAACATTGTCCCCTATGGCCATGCTGCACCGAAAGAAAACAAAATAATCAGCTTTTGGGACCACGACGCACAAAAGCCAACAAGTTCACATGGAGGATCCCACAACCACAACTAAACGATTAAACAAATTATCATTGTCGAAATAAAATAACTTCATTCTATGTCGTTTAGTAGAAACGAAGCAATTAACATAGCCAGCACCGGTGTCCCTACAATCAGAACTTGAGGTCCTTACAATCACTATGTCGCAATTCCTTCTCGATTACTGTCATGCCTAATTTATCTCTGCCCCCAAGCCTTAGTTTTGCCCTCGGAGCCATAATTGTGCCCTTGAAGCCCTAATTGTGCCCTCGGAGCCCTAATTTTTCCATCCAATTGAGCCATGAAGAGAATATGACAAACCTGAATGACTGAGGGTAAGAGACAACACGTGAGTAGCGGCCAACGACGACGGCGACGGAGCACAACGACGACGGTGATGGACAACGGGAACTTCCTTCGCTTGAATGACGACCAGATGAGCCCTAATTTTACTCTCAATGTGCGACGTCGTTTAATTAACCAGGGGGAAACGACATCGCATTGGACGTCCAAGCCACGTAGGCGATGCGACGTTGTTTTTGAAGTCCACGTGGACTTTATTTTTTTAAAAATTTGCCAAGTCATTTACAAGATTTAATTAAAAAAGCCACATATTAATTTTGGCCGGAATATCTCGCCGTTGGCACTTAAGTGATCGTTTGTCCTCCGATTTGGCACTTAAGTGAGCCGGCGAAAACTTTTGGCACTAAAGTGAGCGCCGTACACAAGTTTTGGCACTTCTGCTGTTCTTCCCCCCCTTTTTGCTCATTAAATCTCACATTCACACACATAAAACAACATACTCAATTCTCATACAATAATTTACATGAAAGCACAATTCACAAGTTATACATACACATGTAGGTAGCATCAATTGCACCATCGCACCAACATTTTCTCTTGTTTCACTCTTTCAGTCCATACTTACACTTCGTTCACTCTCAACATAATGAACATGCATAATGAATCATAATATGCAATTCAGCGTATTAACATGATACGCAATAAATATGCTAATTATATCCACAAAAAGTATGTGTGATTTCTCACTTCGATATGCGCCCCTTATTAACTCGTTCATTGCAATTACACAAAATTGTTGCAAAGAACACAAAAGATATTATGATGCAAATTTTGGCATAGACATGGCACATAGTAATTAATTCAGAACAATCAGCAAAAGAAGCTGGAGAAAAGGTCATTCACATTCACATCATCAGGACTCCTGATGGCCCGTTCATATGGTTAAAATGCTATCTTAAGTGCTCCGAATCAAACAGCTGATACTTAAATATTCAAAAAAAAAATCATATGTATACCTCTCTTTAGATCTCAAGAGCACCCATTGAGGAATGCAGTGTCCTAGGCACGCCCCTCTCAATAGGGTCATCATAGTCTTACGTATTTATAAGAGTTCACAAGCGGAAGGTGCTTCTTTTTAAGGTCAGCATTTATAACATGAATGAGGCATAAGAAAACATAGTCATGCAAGGCACACAAGTACTGAACTTCACGATTTATCTTATATATAAACAAGGGTGATACATGGGTGAGTTCACACTCAGGAGGCTAAGAGCAGGAGGTACTTCCTTCCCATCCTATCTACAGGAACCCACTGTCCACATTAGCCAAAAGTCATCACCCGGTCACACGACTCCATCCAAAAAGTGTCGGTCATGCCCTCCAAAAATGGTACTCTACCACTCCACGATCCCTGCCTCGCTCTATCCCGTTACTGCCATCGTCCGCCCCGTCCTCATCTGGGTGCGGTAGGGGTCCCACTAGCCGCCCACCAACTCGAGCGTAGACCGCTACAAAGCCCAGAAGTATATCGTCAATACCAATATACACTTGACAAATACTATTCCTGGAAAGTCGAGATCCACAAAATCGGTCATATGGCTCGAAAAGTCTATGGGAACCCGTAACTAATGGAGGTAGAAGCAGGCGGAATCGGCATATCTATTGATCTGTAAAAATTTAACAACCACAGGAGTGAGCGATAGCTCAACAAGAAAATATCTATCCCCCTATACTAAACGAACAACACATCAACTAGCATAAACACGACGGGTGCCTACTTGGACACTCTAGACGAAACAAACATACATTGTTACTCACTATCTATTGACAATTCGAAGTATGATAGTCTAAGATCAAGAATAATGAAAAATGGTACAATGTAGACATGCGCACACAATTTAACGCTTGCATGGGTATCGTAATCTCAACTCCGAATCACATGTTCGGTGCGCTCGCCGGTCACGCAAGGAGAAATACTCCCGTCTGGCAGAATTTGGTGTGCACTCTGATCTACCGCTGTATACGCTGGAATTCTCAAATGCCCGCGCAGGTTTCGTGATCCACTGACCACGGCGTCTCGATCACACTCCCGGTCCATCTAGGGTGGAATTCTCCTAGGCATCCGGTTCCCATAACCAGGCATCTCGCTTTCCCTTCGGCTTCTCGGGGTACCGTCGATCAAATCAACCGACAATATTCAATAACCCAGCAAGCACCAACACATGGTCGTTTCATGCAGCACACAACTCGTCAACAACAATCGGTCTTTCTCAATATCATAGAATTCATAGCTTACCACTTTAGCAAAACATATCGTAAATCACATTCATGGTCCCATTCACTAGAGCACCGTCTTGGCTAATCGTTAACAACACATCCCACGACACGTGACTAATCACATTCTCAATTTCTAACGATCGACCTCCGATCGACTTACCGTGATTTAAAACTGACTTGGGATTTCTACAGCACTTAATAAAACACGTGATAAGTACTCGGCTTTGTACCGAGTTCGTGGCAAACACTTGGTCTTATCCCGAGCCCCCGACTACGCTCGGACGAGCACCCCGACTAATCATGACACTCGAACAACCACCCGAATCGCGGCGACACCCGGACGAGCACCGGGACTCACCACGTCACCGAACCAGCATCCCAACTTCGCGGCTACGCCCCACGTGGTCTCAACGCCACAATTCAACCAATGACACCACAAAATAATCAATCTCCGCAACAAACCAGCCACCCGACACCCTACCTCTACCAACCCGAACTCGAGACTCATAAAATTAACATGCACATTGTTCCTTATCTAGAATAGGGAGGCAGAACTTCACTTGCCTCGATTTCGGCTCGGTTCAGCGCTGTACCAGAAGGAGTGCCGAGCATCTCGGGACTTCTGGTCGCGTTCCTTGGGTCACGGCTCGATGGATTCGTTGGTGCGAGAAGGTTTCCCGACTGTCCCGCGGCTGTTTGGCCGGGCGGACTGAACGAGACGCGGCTGCTCTGTCGAGAAAACCCAAGCCGAAGCAAGAAAATGGAGGAGAGGCCGGGCAAGAAAGGACCGAGCAAAACAGAGAATGGAGAGGGGAAAAGCTGGGTCGGCAATTGAGGGGAATGAAGACTACCTTCGTCCTTCTGCATGTGAGACTAATCTGGGCGTGGGGTGTGCTGCCACCTAGTCCCATTCCGCCGCGCCACATGGCGTGTTCTTTCCGCCATTAAAATGAAGGGAAGGTGGCAGCGTGTCCGGCAACAAGAAGAAGAATGAAGTGGTGGTGTGCTGGTTGGCAAAGGAGAGTCAACGTGGCTTGCAAAGGAGAGAGGAGGTGGCTGATGGTGACTGTCCTGGTGGGAAGAATGGATGGCGCGACAAAGGTGGGCAGGAGAAGATTATAGCGTGAACATAGTGAATATGGAAATGGCGTGAATGGGGTCGGCGCGATGTGAAAAACGTGACTAAAATTTAAAATGTAAACGAAAGATATTGTAAGGTCAAAACGGTTAATTCGTAAGATGACGTTACGAATGAAAAGATAGATGATCGTGGAACGGTCTTGCGGTGGTTGTCATGGTGATGGCATGATGATATCCTGATAATATCCGAGCTTTCTGAAGTTGACGCTTTCGCATTTTGTCGACGATCATTCTAATTCCCACGTAACGTTCTGTTACGTAAGTTCGTCAAACGAACCGACGAACGAAATTTTGGGATGTCACAAGGAGTGAGTTTAAAAACATGGCAAGCACAAATTTCCTAGGTCAGAATAAACGTGCACCAAAGAAAATATGAAATCAGATGCTTGGATAAGAGTATGTCAAGTGCGCACACTATAAACAATATCAACACTTCCATTCCACATCTCAATTATTACTACTCATAGAAAGAATAGACATCTTCAATGTTTTCTCCTATCGGAAGACTGATATACCCTTCTACGGCTCCTCCGAACAGGCTCAAAGACATACTAGAACAACAGCAAGCACCACCAAGCCTTGTTTCGGTGAAAAGCGTTGGCTATATGGATCCCTCT